AATAAAGAATCAGTTGTTGATACTGATGACTCTATAATGTAAGTCATGATCCCTTGAGATGTGATTTTCTATATATACTAGAAAGCCACTGATTATAATCACTCACCCAACAGCAAATGTTTCAACTCCATGAGTGGCAGTTAATTTATTACAGGTAAATATTATTCCCGATCCTGTGAGTAAAAAGGAACAGAAAAGAGAATTGAGCACATTGAGAGTTTGTCATGAGATAAGGAGTATCTTCTTGTAGCAATTTCTTCTCTCATTTCTATTTTTTTGCTTAAAAATGTACCGATTGAGTTTCTCCAATCTAAAATAAATTGAATAAAATACACAATGAGAATTAATAAAGTAATTATATAAAATTTAATTTAAAACATATTCAAATCTCTAATACACAAGCAAAATTAATGAAACCACGTGTTTAACGTTACGTTTAAATCTTATGAATAAGCTATTTAATTAGGCCTATATCCTTCCATTTAAGGAACAGTTAACAGTAGTAATTTTCCCATAAGGATGCATTATCCTGCACAGAATGACAAAAATATTCTTTAGAAAGTGTGGCACGGATTTCATTACGGCTTCACGTGTTCGGGATTACTGGCGAGGCTTCTGTTGAAAATGTGAGTTTTTCGGGTTTTCTTCACGCTAGTAACACACAATAGGGCCCATTTTCCAAAAATCTGCCTATTAACTAGGATTTAATAGTAGCATATATTATCTCAAAGCTACGTTAACAATAATTTACCGTAATAAATATTGTTAAGGTTTAACAAACAGCGTACATTTAACATTAAAAGAATAAAATCAGTATTTTAAATTGATGCTTTGAACATAAATCTCATTATTCTAAGTTAAAATATGTAAGTACGAAGACAAAGCAAATTCCATAAGCTCTTTAAATATAATTTTTTATCTTTTCTATCTCTAAATTATATTTAACCATGATTACTTCTAGAAAAGTGATTAGAAATCGAAAGTATTGGGGTTAATAACGTTTGACTTCCTTTTTGTTTCGGGGAACGGTGGACAACTGAAAGGAATTTATCTCTCTTAATAAACATTGTATTACGTTTTATAAATACAAGAAAAACTCATCAGTGAAACGTATTAATATATATATGGCGATCTGAACAAATAAATAAATAAATAAGATTCCTCGCGGTGCGATTTCTATGAGAAACTGTCCTTTCGGTGTTGGACACGTTTACCCTCGTTAGGTGTTTGACACGTGATGAAAACTTGAAAACTCGAAGCGCCTGCTCGTCCAAGCGAGGAGCGAACCCACGACCGAACTCCCAGGGGAACGAAGACCACTTGGTCGCTGGTGTGCCCCTTGAACGAAGCGCTTTGTATTTTCCCGGCTGTTGTATCTAACAGAGGGAAGTACGACAAAGTCAAAAAATTATCTCCCCAAGATTTTTACACTTTTGGATTCGGGAGACTCTGAAAAGTTGGGGAAAAAATTCAGATCTTTTTCAGTATATACGGATGTTAGTGTTTATTTGAGGGCACGAGTTTGTTCACCCACTTTGAAAATTCCTGTTTTTTTAGTCGAAAATTTCTGAAGTTTTGCAGGAGGCTTTCTGCATTCGGGGTATTGATGCTACTAAATTTTAGTGGTTAAAGGTCGAAAGAGTGAGTAGATAGATGCGGGTCTTATTTCGAGTAGTGTCCGATTTATTGAAGACGCGTTACAATTTTTCTTTATTAATCTCATACTTACCCTTAAAATTAGCCCGCCATTTTATAATAATATTTTATATAAAAGACTTTTTATATAATTAATCATAACAGATGGCGCCATACCTATTTCAAATGTAGCTACCTGGAAAGTTACGCAACTCGTTGCTGGATTTTGTAATATTGTTGTAATGTAAGTGTACTCGCAACTAACCTGGTCGATGTCGACGTATCAAACCAGTTTACGTATAGAAAACCAAAATTCGTGATATTTCGGTGCGAACGTGCAATAACCTCGGATATTAAGAAAAAAAAAAAATACATTAAAACGAGAGAAGAAGACGAGATGTTATATTGCTGGAAACATTAAACTATTGCAAGTTCATTTGCAAAGTACGCAATCCTACTGATAAAGTAAGAATATAATACGATAATATTAATTCAATAATTTTGTTTTTTAGCAATATTAAATGAAACTCTGCTTATTTAAATTATTAACTTCATATCTAACACGATTGAAAGGGAAATTTTTGAGTTTTCGTGTTCTAGCGCGTGATGTTTACGTGTGTATTCCGTTGTTAACAAATTCTAAGGCGTATATTAAGAAAACTGCAATAGGTTAGAAGATAAACAATTAATAAACTTACGTCCTTCATACACATTACACAAGCATTAGGCCTATATACTTTTACAGAATATACGCCAGGTGTTTCTACCTTTACACACGGTTACAAAATACTGTTTCTCATTTAGTTAAAATTAATTAATAGAGAATATGAAAGTTAAAGTAATTCAGGCTTGCAAAGGTACTTGTTTAAAATTACATGATCGTCTCGTAAATCCACTAATAATCTGTAGGTTTAATCTATTGCTGTGACAGTTTGATAGTAACTGGTGACACTTTTTTCTTGTCCGTTTAACAGTAACTTATGATACTTCATTAATTCAGCTACTGTATTACTACATGACGTATATTAAGTAGATTAATGTATTTCTTACACTTACTAAAAAACAGAAAGGCGTTAATGCGGAGAATTTTAAATGACTTTTAGAATCAAACAGGAAATACCCGAATATAACACAATTTTTGGTTTTTACAGTGTTGTCAAATTTTACCTGAGCGAAATTATAGAGTGAAAGATCGTAATTTCGATCCATAATGGACTTTCAAAATAAGCGACTCATAAATAAATGACATCATCTAAACTTTTATCACTGTGAAGTAAACGTTGAATAGTCTAAAAAATAAAATTAAAACAGTAATTAACACCAGTAATTTAGTAAAATTGTCCTCGTTACTTGTCCTTGTTACACTTATGTGTTTACAAGTTTTTTATTGTTTACAGTTAACATCCCTGTTTAATAACAAGGATGTTATTAAACATACCTGACAATTTTTATAAATATAACCGATATTTAGAAGTTTTTACGTCTAAATTTTAGAGGTGAAGATCTCTCTCTAAAGTTTCCTAAACACAGAGGTTACTCTAAGCTAGCAACATATAAGAGTTTACCGTATTAACTGCATCATTTTGATGACATTTTTGCGATTTAATATTGTTCATTTTGTCTAATTGATATTCTCATTAATTGTCTATGTAATTAAATCGATGTTCTTTAATGAGTTTTAATTGACGACCTTTCTTAAAACAATAAAAAATAATGACGTTAACTACAAATGCCGACCTTGGTATAGATCGCGATCTACCGGTTGGTCAGAAAAATACTTAAAATAATGAAAAATGTCCTCAAATAAGGTAGCTGTATTCTTATTAGTTTAAGTCTATAATCCTTTATGTCAGATATAGTATTTACTACAGCAAAGAAATATCCAATGGTTTAACCACGCACAATTTATTATTCAATTTTCTCTTTTACACACGCATTTCGGGTTGAGTGAAGAGGGGTTATCTCTTTACAAACGGACTGTAACACCTAGTAAACTTGATATCTCTCACCAACCTTTCAGCGTAAAAATAAATATAAATAATTTAAATTATTAATACATGTTTTTAGTTCCTGCGACTAAAACATCCGTTTTGAATAACNTATTTTAATTATTTTTATTTCCAAACTGATTTTAACCAGTTCTATAGTAAGGTAACATTCCAATAGACAATATGCAAAGCTTTTTTTTCAGTTTACAGCAGTATTTATTACACAAAATTTAAGTAAAGCTTAACATGCCGATCTTGCCCCGATCTCCCCTATATTAAGTAGATTAATGTATTTGTTACACTTACTAAAAAACAGAAAGGCGGTAATGCGGAGAATTTTAGATGAGTGTACACTTTTAGAATCAAACAGGAAATACCCGAATATAACACAATTTTTAGTTTTTATAGTGTTGTCAAATTTTACCTGAGCGAAATTATAGAGTAAAAGATCGTAATTTCGATCCATAATGGACTTCCAAAATAAGCAGCTCATAAATAAATGACCTCATCTAAACTTCCATTACTGTGAAGTAAATGTTGAATAGTCTAAAAAATAAAATTAAAACGGTAATTAACTCCAGTAATTTAGTAAAATTGTCCTTGTTACACTTGTGTGTTTACAAGTTTTTTATTGTTTACAGTTAACATCCCTGTTTAATAACAAAGATGTTATTAAACATACCTGACAATTTTTATAAATATAACCGATATTTAGAAGTTTTCACGACTAAATTTTAGAGGTGAAGATCTTCTCTAAAGATTCCTAAACACAGAGGTTACTCTAAGCTAGCAACATGTAAGGGTTTACCGTATTAATTGCATCATTTTGATGACATTTTTGCGATTTAATATTGTTCATTTTGTCTAATTGATATTCTCATTAATTGTCTATGTAATTAAATCGATGTTTTTAATGAGTTTTAATTGACGACCTTTCTTAAAACAATAAAAAATAATGACGTTAACTACAAATGCTGACCTTGATATAGGTCGCGATCTACCGGTTGGTCAGAAAAATACTTAAAATAATGAAAAATGTCCTCAAATAAGGTAGCTGTATTCTTATTAGTTTAAGTCTATAATCCTTTATGTCAGATATAGTATTTACTACAGCAAAGAAATATCCAATGGTTTAACCACGCACAATTTATTATTCAATTTTCTCTTTTACACACGCATTTCGGGTTGAGTGAAGAGGGGTTATCTCTTTACAAACGGACTGTAACACCTAGTAAACTTGATATCTCTCACCAACCTTTCAGCGTAAAAATAAATATAAATAATTTAAATTATTAATACATGTTTTTAGTTCCTGCGACTAAAACATCCGTTTTGAATAACGTTACGCAATCGTAACTTCAGTATATTAGTTTCATTTCATTGCGAAATGACACTTCACTTTTCAATAACGTAACGCATACACTCCGCTTAGTTTGACAACTGGGCTTATTTTTGTTCGTTATATCCGGTAATGAAGTTATTCGGTAAGAAAGTAAGTAATTTTTACAGTTATTTGATAGTAAAGAAGCTCGCTTTATACTTGGATATTACCGTAACTCTCTTATCTCTGTTGTTTCACCGGAACACAGTGAATCATCACGCTCTTTATTACAGTTAATGTAAGTATATCTTTACATTTTTTAAATAAAATTGTATATATTTGAAGTACTTTACGTAATTAGTTATACTAGAAACGTTATATCGTGAGTTATAGGCTCGAGTCAACGGGTATTTACTTAAATTCGACTCCGACATTAATCGAAGCTTTAAAAATTCAATTTTTTCTGAAGCGTAATAACATTAATCATAAACAAATGTCAATCAAAAGCGTTATATCGAGTGTTAAAAGAGTAATAATGCATTTATTATAACTGCATTTATTACAAAATAATTAGAGCTTCTATTAGCAAGTTCCAATAAGTTAAATTATGCAGAGTTGCTGTTGCGAAGTATATAAATAAACAGAATTTTTATAAGCAGGAAGCAATAACAAAATACATTTTTAAAGGTTATTTATATAAAAATGCTGAGCGAAAAGGTCATATTAAATAAATTATAATTAAAATGAAATACAGTAGAACCTCGTAAACTCGGCCTAATGTGGACCGAAGGGTGGCCGAGTTTGTGAAAATGCCGGGTTATCGGGAATGGGGTTAAAAAAAATAAGTACGAGTGTTTCCTCAGAAAATACTGTACTGTACTTGTATGTATTGTTTACTTGAGAATATAACAGAGAATAAACTGCCCAAATACCCTTAAACAAAGGAAAAGTACGTCCTTTATGAAGGCATAGAGCCTTTACTACATGAAAATGAAAATTAATGAATACACTGTGTACAGTAATTTACCTGATAAGACAGACCTCAGAAAAATACTTTATGAGAGCTTTTATACTTTTATAAAGCTGTCTATAATGAAAATTAATTAACTAAGGATTTTTTTGCCCTGCCAGGATGTGGACGAGTTATCCGGAGTGCCGGGTTATCGAGGGCCGAGTTTTCGAGGTTCTACTGTATTTATGTTTTCCATTTTTTTGTACTAGGTTAAATTTGACGGGCTATTTATAGGTAATAATGCAATAGTATTGGTGTTTACCAACAGAAAATATTTGTAATACGTGTTTAACCATATGGTCTAACATATTTTAATTTGTCGATTTCTTTAATAGACACGTGATCCGCACGCTAATTGCTTTAAATTTTTTAGAAATTATTTATTTATCTGCATCTTATCAGGATTTGAAGGATATATTTAAATATTATACACGTCAGTGGGGGTAATTATCATCTTTAATTACGTAAAATTGAGAATAATTGTTGATATTTTTTACAAATAGTCAAAAGTTTATTCGAAATATAAGGAATTTAATATAAAAACATGCTTTTCCGATTAGAAAACGAAAGTTTTTGGTGTTTATACGTGCCATTATCACATCCTTTGATCTGAAATATGTAATAGTCTCACTTCCTTAAATGCTTTTCCCAATAAACAACTTTACATTTCTGTTAAAAATAACAACTTTCAATTTGAGATAAAATCAAAATAACCATTCAAATCTGCTAAAAATGTATATAATTTTCTAAACCAAATAGCATTGTTTTTTCTTCTACATGACATCAAATCTTATAATATAATCGAGATGGGTTGATAATGATAATAATAAACGCAGAGCTCAAACAACTGAGTAGGAGTTGAAAGTTGAAATTTGGTAGTTAGGGAGTTAGGGTATGTCATGAGAATGTACACTAAAAAGGAATTTGTCAAAATTTCCACTGTGGGAAGGAAGAGTTGGGGGAGAGAAAGGGTTAAGATTACCCCGAAGAACTCGGCTTTTACTGTACTATTTTAAATGTCTTTTTTTGCATTTATGCGGGAAATCGAATATATTTTTAGACCCTTCTAAAACTTCTAAACGATATTTAGTGTTTCATCATACATAAAGTTGACACGGGGAGCGTGTCAACTTTATATATGATGTTTTTCGATTTTATGTTCGAATTTATATTTATTAATGATTCGGAAAGATCCAACTTATTTTTCGAATTTAGTAAGCCTGAAGAAGAATCCAGAATGAGTTACGAAAACGTTTATTATTTATCACTTTGTGGTACTACGCACCGGTTAGTGGTTGCAGTGAGTCTTATTAATCGTTCTCCCGGTATGGTAAGCAGGTATCTAAAAATTCTCTAATTAGTCTCGGAAGAGGGGGATCTAATTCTTGCATTCGGTGAAAACGGGTAAGATCGGCTATAATCTAATAATCTTAATCTTTGCTATCGTTACTTTTTGTCCAAGCCACGCCGGGCTTATCTGTTAGTTGTCAATAAAATAGGTATTAAATTTATTTATTCTTAGCATTGGTTTACATTTCTTTCACTTGGATTTTTATAATACCCAGCAGGAGATACCCAACCTTTTTTTTTATAAAGATTAGATTTAGTTCGTCACCCCTCTTCCTCGACCCTTCATATAAACCAGTGTTTCTCAACCTCTAACGAATCGTCGCCCCTTCAATAAAACCGTTACGAGTATCGCCCCCTTCGCTTCAAAATTCCGATGCCGAGGGCCGAGCCTAATGCCAAATTCGTACTGCATCGAATAGACTAGTGACTAGTATAATGTTATTTGTTTAACTATTGTACGATATAACGAATAAAATATCTAATTATTCTTAATATTATATTTTACTATATCGCCCAGAAAATTGTTTTTTGCCCCCAAAATATAAATTGTTACTAATCTCCTTCTCAACATGGAAAAATGCCCACATGGGGGGTATATCGCCCCCGTTGAGAAACACTGATATAAACTAACTATCCTTTGCGAGGTCACCGACGAACGTGTTGAGAAGCTCTGGGGAATCGTATTTGTTATTCGAACAACAGTGTTAACTTATGTACGTACGTATTTACACATACTATACAGAAGGCACTATACATCCGGGATATAATGAAGTATATCATTTTATTTATTATTTTAGCTAACCTTTATTAAAATAATGGAATTCAAAGTTAACTTTTAGCATCTCACAGTTCCTTGAGCCATATCCTTGATATCTCTCGAACAAATTGGGTAACGGTCGTTTAAACTATTCAAAGAGCCTCATAATGATTGTAGGATTGATAGGATAAGGCAAAAGGTTGATCTGTCAAGAAGTATGACTTGCGTAAAGGTTTTTATTAGAAATTGGCCCCTATTTAAATGTTAGACATGCGAAGATAACCCAGAAAACGTTACGTGGACAGCCCGTAAGTGAGATGCGAATTCGCGACCAGTGTTTTTGCGATTTTGACATTCTACCACTAGTGGAAAGCGCGACTACAACGACTCGAATCAGTGACGACCGATTCAAGTCCTTATTGTTCTCACTGTAAGGCATGTTGTATAGCCAGATCCACATCGTTCTTGACTACATAATCGGTTTCCCGAAATGTCTTCTCTTGTATCAACCAGTACTTGAAGTATTATCTTTAACAGTTCTGTTGATTAACCATGGAATAGTAAAATAAAACTCAATGTGAACACCTAGCGAAGTTTCAAAAATTCGAATCAAATATTTTTTAAACTGAGATTGTATTTCTATAAACTCTTCTTCCTGAGTGAAGTTTCAGGTTAAAGAACCCCAAGTTAAATAAAGATTATGTTTGGTAATGAACCGGTTGATAAGTCTTTTATTACTTTATTTTATTACTAGTTTTTGATAGTAAACATTTGTTAAATTTCAATTTTATCACCAGTATAAGGCGGATTTTGCGGAACTCCTAGAGACGGTTCAAGAAACAATGCAATAGATCACGAGGTCCGTTCTGCACGATTCTCCAATCCTTGTTACTTGCTACTTTTCACTTACTAACAATCATCGGAATATCTGCCATTTTGCGTAAGAAACTTCTAAACACAGGAACGAATGCGGATACAATTGCACGAGATCTTTATTACGTCTTCATTTTAATTGTAATGAAAATTATATTTAAGTTAAATGCTAAATGTATGTTTAAATGCTTAATTATTAATCGATTTATTTCAATATTTTATTATAGGATTATTGAATGCACCTAAATCTATCGATGATCATAGAAAGAAATTCCGAACTGAGTAAAGTGTCTTGCATATCTACGACATTCTTAGTTATTTTGTCCATCCCTTTTATATTGGGAGGAATACCAAAAACATATTCTTCTATCGAGAACGATCGAAAAAATGGTGTCGTACTTATCGCAATTGGTAGCGGATTCGCTGTAATTGCCTTAATTGTGATATGCATCTATATATTTATCAGACGAAAACACGAAAGTAATAGTAACTCTGATATGATGTCTTCTCAAATTACTCAAGATCCAGGGGATATATCGTTGGAAACTATTATAGACGTGTCTAACCCGATAGAGGTGTCAGAAGACGACGACCCACCTCCCTACAACGAAGAACCTCCATCGTACGAATCTGTGATTCGAGAACAAAGAACGAATTGATGTTACCAGTAAGTAAGCGGCCGTAAAATGTGGAGTTGATAAAATTTCTAGTCAGCAATTTGGCGTTCTCATGCCATTATTATCGAAGTGTTAAGACGAGTTTCATTCGCCGATTTATGGAAACTTTTATGTAAGTAATCTTTGCTATTCTCAGAAGGTTTGAAAGCAATTTAAGTGATAAAATGCGTATTTATGCAATTAAATTTCTTAAAATTTGTAAATATGTATACATAAAGTTGACACAACGCGAATACAGAAGACATTGAAGACATTAGTTCATGTATATGCGTAAAACTACATAGCGAGCCATAACTAATTTTACAAATTTAAAGTTTGTAAAACGAAAAAATTAACATAAATTTGTTTGTAACTTTATAATATAATTGGCAACTGAAAATGTTTGTTTTTTTTATTACTATCTTATATCGCTTCGCGCTTTGTATCCTGCAAAACTACAAAAATGGCGGCTTTCGCGAGCAACGTCATTTGTTATCGAAACTGATTTAAATGCAATCTATTAAGTGCACTCAGTGAGTATTTGGAAATTAACGAATCGACCAATTTGTCGATTAGAATTTAAATTGACGAATTAGTTCGTCGATTCGCATTCGTATTTTTTTTTAACCGACTGAATGCCCTTAACAGATTGCGTTTAAATGAGAGAATTGAAATTGGAATCGACGAATTGCTGCACCTTCACGTCTACAAATTTCTGCTATTTATGTGGCAACGAGAAGAATTCCCCAGTTGCCTGATTTTTGACAAGTTTACTATTACCTGGCTACAAAAATTACCGAATTTCTTCATACAGAGTATACGAATAAGCAAGGCTTTATCTGTACACTAAAATAATTTGTTAATTGCAAACAAGATTGCACACCTTCACGAGGTAGTGAAGGAAAGACTTAGGTAGGCTTTTGTATAGGCTTTGTAAAATATTTTATGACACACTAAAGTTCTAATTACACATATTTATGGCTCATCCTGTATTATATTTTTGAAAAAATAAATAAAATTATTTCACATATTGAATATTTGTATTATGCGACATTTATTGAAAATATTATACTATACAGTTTAAGTATAATTATTAAATGGCATCTAAATTTTTAAAACTGTATGCTATATAAGCAAATATAGTGTTGCGTGTACAGTACGAAAGATATAATGTATGTGATATATAGGATGGAAGGTATGCAGTTTTTCGAGTATATCTTAGTTAATAGAAGAGGAAATGATCTCAAATTCTCTCAAGTAAATAATTGCATAATTAATTGTAACATTATTTTTTAAAAAATTTACAAAACTTATGATAGTCTAGTTGTCTCGAAATCCAATACCAGGCGTAGAAACTATAGAGGCAGGAGGCTCCAATTAACTATGTAGGAACATACGATAAAAACTAGAAGTCATTTTATTTCAATTCAAATATTTTCCCTCGAAAGGAGTTAGATAGATGACCGGCACGTGCCGACTCTATTGCTAACGGAAAAGTATGATGTACAGGGGCGAGACACTGCTAATTTTAGGTGGCGAGCATATATTTTAAAATAAATAAATTAAAGATATGATAAAAATACGCGCTACATTCTACCAGAACACAAAGAACAATTTGCATAATATTCTGTACTAAGTTAACTTTATATGTAATTGTTGCGCGTTGGCTAAAACGAAGAACTATTCCAAGTCGCTGGTTCCAGTCGAATTTTGCACCTCGTATCTTTAGTCAAGTCCCTGATTTCCAGTAGTGTGGAAAAAGCGGAATAAAGAGCTTCCGCAACCTATAAGAAACACATTTAAAAATCTTTTTATTAATTAAATTCGTAATTTAATATTCACCACATTAAAACGCGAGGAAATTAAATATACTGACTCTTATAGGAAAGTCTTCTTTAATGAAAAAAAATCCTCCGATGGAAACCCCGAGAGGTAATTTCCCAAATCTCTTCATAAAGTTGAGAATCTGAAAAGTTTTTCTTAAATAAATATCAACTGCGAGTAAATAAATGAAAAATTGAGTTACCATTAGTTTGTCCACTAAATGCAGATTTGCTGATGAACATTTTCCTGCTGATATGAAATTACCGTACATCTAATTAAATAAACATTAATATTATTTCAGATAAATAAAACAATTAATTTTCAAATCATTAAAAACAATTTAAATGGTTTTACTTGGAATTGTATCTGTGTCGGATAGAAATTACAACAGTGAAAGAAGAAGAAGATTAAAACAAGAATATTATATTACTATATAATTATGTTATTTAGATTTTACAATGGTCAAAATGGAAATTACAATTTTCCTATTTTTAACCAATTTTTATTAATAACAAAATAAAAAAATGACAAAAAAAACAAAAGTTATTTTTCCACATTTTTATTTTATACCAGACACATTTACCATCAAAAAATATTTTATTATAATTAAGGTAATGGAATAGATATAATATCACTCGTCATTATACTTTTTACTTTTAATTCTTTCAGATATATTGATATCATTCTTTTAATATGGATATTCAATATTATACAAGAGGAAAATATTTTAAAACTTACTTAATACACAGTATTTGAAATAAAACATAACCTCGCCTAAAACAGGCAGAGAATAAAGCGGCATCGTTAAAATTACCCCCAACATAAAATATACGAATGTAAATTTTTATAGAAAGTAATAAAATAACGATACTCTCGCGCAATAAAAATTTTAAAAAATGTAATTGTTTTAATTGTAATAAATATTTTCTTAGAAAATGTACTAAAAAATGTTAATTAATATTGTAGTGTATGTTACAGGTATAAAATTAAAATATGTATCTTAATATAAAATTAGATAAATTACATAAATTACATAATAAAATAAATACATAAAAAAATTGGTTTTATTCTTTACAAAATACAAACACTGGTGAGCCAAGTCAAAGAAATGACTTGGCTCACCAGTTCATTTCTGAATTCGCAAACAATTTAAACTGGAAATTAATATAGAAAAATTATATATTTCATATTTCATTCATCGAAAAACAAGCAAAATGGGATTTAATTTCGAAACATCAAGTATTAAACGAAAATAGCCGAATTTCAAACTTTTCCAGATAAATTTGTTTAGAAGTATGTACGTAAATTAAGTACGAAAATAGTTTTAAAATACCAGCGATTAAAAAAAAACACTCTAAGTGAGCTAAAAGATTATCTACATTGAGATTCAATTCCCTTTTATCAAATAATAAACGTAGATTTCCAAAAGCATCTTTCTCCGTGTTATGTTTTAAAATATCAAAAACTAGATCAGAAAATATAGTTTATTAGTCAATGTATTTCACGACACTTGTAACGTTCTCGAAGATATGATAAAAAAAATTAAATTCAAAAAAGAAAATTAAAAGTACGTGTTCTTATAAAATGTAAAATTACTTATGTAATCTTATAAAAAAATAAAATAAAATATATCCCAAAGTGTATCTGCTACTACCGCTAATCGATACCACTTATGATAATTGTGTTTGCTTATCCATTAAGTATAAGAGGGAGATTCAAGAAAATCGAACTGAGAGCGCGTTGCAATTCGTACACGTAGTAGAGAGTTCTCTCGCTAGATGGGGTTAGTAGAAACCTTCACGAAATAGCCGAGCAGACGACGTCTGTGTGGTGTTTCTTTTACTGTTATTTTGTTCCGGCTGCGAAGTCGTTATGGCGAATTTAAAAGAACAAAGAGTGTGTTTGAAATTTTGTTTCCTGCTTGAAAAATCGACAACGGAAGCTTACCAAATGTTGCGACACGCTTTTAAAGAAGATGCTACGAGTTGCGCACAAGTTTTCGAGTGGTTTGGGCGCTTTAAACGTGGTTGACATGAGTGTTGATGACCGTGCTCGTTCTGGGCGTCCTTCAACATCTCGAAACGATGAAAACGTTGAAAAAATTCGCCAAAAATCAACGAAGATCGTCGTTTCACGATCGACTAAATTTCAGAAGAGACGGGCGTGGGTTGGAGCTCGTACCAGCGGATTTTGACTGAGCAGTTGCAAATGAGAAGTGTTTCCGCTAAATTTGTTCCTGGCCTTCTCACGCAGGATCAAAAAACATTCGATTTAATTTGAGCCGGGACTTAAAAAAAATTGAAAGTGATCCAAACTTTTTGACCGAAGTCATTACGGGTGATGTGAATCGATGTTACGGGTATGACCCAGAAACTAAGCAAGCGTCGAGCCAGCGGAAGACTCCCAACTCTCCCAGACCAAAAAAAAAGCGAGACAAGTGAGGTCGAACGTGAAGACGACGATCATTGTCTTTTTTTTTGTTCGTGGAATTGTGCATCGGGAATTTGTCNACTAAGCAAGCGTCGAGCCAGCGGAAGACTCCCAACTCTCCCAGACCAAAAAAAAAGCGAGACAAGTGAGGTCGAACGTGAAGACGACGATCATTGTCTTTTTTTTTGTTCGTGGAATTGTGCATCGGGAATTTGTCCCCCCGGACAGACTGTAAGCCAGCACTTTTATTTCGAAGTTTTAAGCACTTAATATTCTTTCCATACTGCGTGATTTCTATTCCTACCGCTGTTCAGAGAGACCGGAGTGCCTCCGATGTACGACCTTTTTATACGACACAAACATATGCATGAATATTGAAAGAACCATATTGAGTGTCGGTGGCTCTTGACGGCAACTCTGGCAGCAAAATCTATTACGAAGGACGTATCCACAGACGTTCAATTAGTATCTGCGTATTAAACATTAATAGCAAATCAAAAAATTATAGCGTCAGTCATCTCGATCGTAATCATTATTTACCCTTAAGAGGCAAAGAACAACGCAAATGATTTTAGGCAATTTGAGTTAATTGGGAATCGATACTAGTGTGAGAATGCGGACGCTATTTTATTTTCACACTAACTGCGTAGTTAGCGAGGGTGACTTTCGTCGTCCGAAGGGCATCTACGAGGGACCACGATATCACGTGACCCCCATACGACCGAGTGACCGGACAAAAAAATGATCAAATAAGGTAGTGAATTTCTCTACGGCTGGGGGAGACTGTCATAAATCAGGGAGAACTGTCAAAAAAAGACGTCAACAGATTCCCAGGTTTTTCCCACGCTAAAGGGTATAAAAGGAGAACGATCTGACACCTCAGGAGCGATCGTCGGGGAAGAAACATCGACGCAGGATCTTCCAGGATCTAAGCAGCTCATAATCGTCGCTCCATGAAAGGTAAAAACTGAATATTTTCTATTCTCTCCATATACGACGGAATTACTCCTCGGAGAAGTTATCCCAATAAACCTCCGAAGAACTTCGCCAAAGAAGAACTCTACAGATTGGGAGCGACGGAGCATACACCGTAACCGGACATAGCCGCACGGCCTGATAAGGACATCGCTCTACATAGCCTAAAAAGGACACCTCGAATTTAGAAGACGACGATCACAGTGCGTTTCATCAACGCCTTATACGAGCATATCCTACGAGGTAAATCCTTGCCATTATTATTTATCTCTCTCTAACGTGAGCTCTCTCTCGGACTTTAGCGTTAGTTTTTAGAATAGATTTTAGAATACCTATTTATATCTTGATACGCGTGTGTTGTATTTAATATCTTTATGTAAAATTTTTCATCTGTTTATTAAATGTGTTCGTTAATTTAAACCCGTGTAGTCTTTTGGATACCTGATCGTTACGCCTCCCACTCCTTTTGCCCTCCTATAGCCATTTCCTGACAGCCAAGCCAGTAAGTGGGGAGAAGCTCTCCGCTTCAGCCCCCTCGGTTAGCACACTAGCGAGGCAGAGTTAATCTTACGACTTATACGATATTACCTACGTATGTACTGTAGACTATACGTAAGTAGGTATTATTCGTTGAAAAAAACTTTGCTCATAACATAACGTGTCGATAAAAATCATGGCATGCCAACTTACATACTACGTTGCTAAACATATCATGCCATAAACTTGATATTACTGTTTATGTCGTGGCTATTGTCAGTGTACGAGTTATGACCATTTTATAGCGTTTCAATCTTATACTCATAAAATGCATTAAACCACTTTATTTATTTGTATAGCACCATCATTATTTAAACAGCTTTTTTATAAATATAAAGGAAATTGAACATTTTGAAACATTTAACTACATAAAAGTTTAAAAAAATTTATTAAAACTACTGTAAATAAAACTAATCTAATGCATTTCTTTATTTATCGTAAGAATGGCTACATTTAAGAGAATTCACATTAATTTATATGAAAGATATTTTAAGTGAGATACGATTCTGCTCAAAGCATCAATTGACCTACGAAATTTATTAAGTGCTACATTTATGTGATTTACAATTCATCAGTCGACAAAGGAAGAATTATGACGATAGAGAAATATTAATAAATAAATATTTTGTTCACTGAAGAAAGTTAAAATTACATACACAGTTTCGATTTGATATTTATCGTTAATTATGATTTTTATATACAGTAACTGGCTGTTACCCGCGAGTTCGCCCGCGAAAATTTTGCAAGCAAACCCCATTTATATTCAGTATTTCAACAACCATAGTAATTGTTATATAACACCTACCGCCGAGAATGTTGAGAATTGCCGAAAATCAAACGAACTATTTTTGATTTGATCAATTTTCTGGGACGTTTACAATCGTTCTATAATCGAACCAATACTCAATAACAAATTCAAATTTAAAACGGTTCGAACATTTGGATGAAAAATCGAAATATATAAAAGTATTTATAACATTGAATACAATCGTACCCAGCAAAAATAAACAAATAACGTAACCAACACCTTATTGTTTGCTGAGGGAGTTTTATTAAAACGAACGTTTTCGATCCAATTAACGGATCATCATTAGGCTAGAACATACGAAAATGAAATACATAATAAATTGAACAATAAGTTCAAAAATTCAAAAATATCAATAAACTGATAACAAATCAATTAATAAGAATAAA